GGCTCGCTAGCGCAGTTGGTTAAAACCTTCTGCGCGGCGACGGGGAGACGAACTCCTGATGGTCCGGGTCCACACCCGGGGGTAGGTAGAAAAGCCACAATTCTCCCAGATTTATCATGGAGTCAAAGCCGAAGAGCCTGACAAGGTGGATGGGGCGAGACAAGAACATTGAACTGATCCGTGATGGTGTGAGTTGAATTAATGTTGAATTTTGAATTCAGAATCCACATCACAGCAATCGGAACATTCCCATAAGCGCTCCATCCCCATCTTCAGCAGCAAGCGTAGAGTTCAGATTCCGATGGCACCAGTAGCCGTCTGATTGTTTAACCGTCTCATCCTTCCCCTGAGTGTTGAGCGTCGGCCAGATCCCCTGGTAACTCCTCGCAGCGCCATTCTTCTCAGACCGTTATGATCTATCTGAGCCTCCACACTGTTCACTCGTTCCTAAAGGGCCCTCACAATATCTAACTTGTCATACATCAATTCACCACCAAGTGGTGCTGAGCCGGTCAGTCTATCTGCCTGCTCATTTTCCAACACATCGGCATAAACCTGGAGAAAATATCGAAACGATGCTAACTACCCGGCACCTCTGAAGTGATGCTTACCACTCTGCGCGAAGCATACCTGTCTCCGCCTTTCTCAACATGCTCTGTGAGTCAGTTACAATCCCAACATGTGTGTACACCTGATTCTCAAGCCAGCGGAAGACCTCCACCTCCATTCTCAAACTAGACGCAGTGATATCATTTGCTTGGATGCCTCACTAAGCGACGTCCATTCGACTTTGCTGTGAATCCGCATGCAGTTCTTCTACCCTTCTTATGATTCTGCAGCACCAGCTGACTAGTACCTGCACTCACGACCTAAGGTGATTAGAACCCTACACAAGTCTTAAACTTGTTCGGATACCTTGATCCACTCCTCTCCTCGCTTAAATATATCCAGCCTGCACACATGTCCAATTGTGTCTTCAGCTTGCGCCATATTAGACCTTCCTCTTTTCAGTCTGTGACCCTTAGCTTTTCTGACTTCGTTACTTGTGTATCAGTTCGCCACCCAGTCTGTCTGCTTGTTCATTCTCCACCACGCCAGCGTGGCCTGGAGAAAAGATCTAAAGTATGCTCTCTAATCGTGACCTTGCAAGTGAAGTTTGCCACTCTGCTCGGAGCAATCCCGTCTTTACCTTTTCCAGCATGGTTTCAGGGTCCGTTACAATTACGATGTGTGTATGTATCGTGCTGTCTGCCACCGACAAGCTGCAGTGACCGCCTCCACCTCCATTCTCATGCTAGATGTTGTGAAATGATATGTCAGGCAGCCCTGCACTAAATATTTTTCCTTGGCTTTCGCTACAAATCCCCAGGCACGTGTCTTCCCTCTCAATCATTGTCTATTGATTGCCTCACTAGTCCGGATGTCAAGGTTACTATGTAGCCGTTGGTGGTCCAAACATCGCCTCGCAGTTGAACGGGACTTGCCAGGATTTCTACACACAAAATTCTGATCCTTGGGGTGTTAAGCCTGCATAGTGCGTCCTGGGGGAGGGGGGGGGGGCTGCATTGCAAAAGCAGTGTCATCTCACATTTGTTTTTTAGCGAGGCGCCGTGCGATTTGGGGGTGACTGATTCGAGTGGGGTATGATTACTATAGCTATCGATTTTGATGTTGTCTAGTGTGTACGCCTATCTCCACTTCTTCCCTCTGCATCTCTGAGTGCGAATCAACACCCATCCGTTCGTTTATGATGCTGCGACACTAAGATGAGCAACGCGCTGTCTCAATAGATTCAAAATTACTGTCTAACGTTTTGGTTATGGTGACGAGGAAGTTCATCCCTGGTCTGAACTAGTATCACCATGGGCTCTGGTCCCCATGCCACCTGAAGCACCATGGAACACTTCGTCTGAACAGATGCAAACAAACGAGCACAACATGGAGATGTGGTTGATAACAAGACAGAGAGTCAAACAAACAGGAGCATTTGTGTTTTTATTTCAGGATTGCAGTCTCTAGGGTGTAACATCTCAAGGACGAGAATCAAACATGTACAAGTCCTGGAAACCCCGTTCAACTGTATAGCCATATCTTCTTTAGAATTCCGAGCCCTTGAGGTTCATTGTTGCAGATACATAGAAAGGTTAGTTGCGTAGCCGTATCCTTTACAAGACGTTGTAGAACCAACCCCAACAGCTCCTGGCTGTTGTGTTTTTTTAAAGACAAATTTACGTCCAGTAGTTTGCCATTGTTTTCTGGACGGTCAGCTTTCTTGATTCTACTGTCGAAACCAACGCAAGGCGCATTGCCCGCAGCTGGGATCGAACCTGGCATTACTAAGCGTTCGCATCGACTTAGCCACAGAGCCGACGGCAGTTACATAGAGGTCGTTCAAATCGGTAACGAAGTAACCTTAGTCCAGCGTCGGGGAAAACGGGGATGATAGTGTAACGATAGAACAGGGGTATAAGCTAGATGTTTCTGCCTTTGCTGTCGTAGTTTTCAGCCGCTGGGATCTCTCTGTGTCAGCCTGAGTCTCTGTGCGCGTTAATGACAAATACACACTCGTACCTACTAAGTTATTGCTGCAGGTAGATACTGTACAAACTTCTGCAGTCTTCTCTCACATATCGTACTATCAATGGTTCTCAAACTTCATAATGCCGTGACCCTCTAATACAGTTCCTCGTGCTGTGGAGACCCCCCCCCCCAACCAAACAATTTTTTTCGTTGCTACTTCATAACTTCAGTGAATATGTAAGTTTTCCGATGGTCTTAGGCGACCTCTGTGAAAAGTGGCGACCCACAGGTTGAGTGCCGCTGATCTGAGGGAACGCATCATACGTTAATAAGTTCTTACCTAGAAACCCAATGAACGCATGATGTGTTGATTTTAGTCTCTCTTTACTACCCATTGGGCCTGGTGATGCTAAACCCCCTGGGACTCAAAGAGTTAATGTTTTTCCCTCCGAGGATTTAGGCCTGCAACGCTTGACACCTAGTGAATCAAACAAACAGCAACTTATCGGATGCAAATCCAGTAACAGCAAATCTCATTCAACCATAGAAAGTTATTTCAACAGCTCTGAATTTTTTTTAAATCTTGAGTGTGCGATCTCTTCAACATTCCTTTAAATTTCTCATATGGTTGCAGTTTGGTTAAAAATGAGCACCTCACAGAAAAAACAGAAACAAACAAAAATTCACAACGAAAAAAGAAACAGATTCTTCATATCCATTTTTATGAATCTTTTTTTTAATTATTATTGTCTTGTTTCACCATACATATGGCAGCAGATAAGAAATCGCCAGTTGTAAACCTGCTACAACATTGTCATTTTTATTTTGTTCAACAAACTACTTACATTATATACAATTTTAAAATTGTTTTTATTAACAGGCAACTTGAAAACAAACTGGACACCTTCTTCAGATTATTAACTTAACCATAATTCAGGTTGTAAAACAATGTTTTTCCTATCTCAGTAAAATCAATCAAGTGGTGTTTCCACAATAAAGATTAGCTGCATTAAATCACCAACACTGTCTCATCCTGGGTGGACACTCTGACAAACTGATGTTTGCCATCTCTAAATGTATTCTCATTTCTGCTGCCTACCTCTTGAACGTCTGCCTTCAGCTTTCATTTCCAGTGTAGTTTTTAAAACTGCAATGTTTTTTTAAAAATATGTATATAATAAAAAGTTGTCCCCTTTCATCAGCTCTCTTTTTCCTAAAGCATCAGGAAGACCTCTGTTTCTTCTTTAAAATTTAGTAAACTACACAGCCACTTATATTTCCAAGAAACTCAATGTGAAAACCTGGTTTGAAAGTCCATACAGCAAAACATGCACACCACATTCACTCCACAAGCGTACTAGCTGCATAAAGGACAGACCCAAAGCATATTGACATTTTAAATATTAAATTAAAATGGCAAATACAGACTTGTTTCTGCACAGCTGAATCAACGAAAACAGACCAGATTTCTCCTAGTTAACATAAAACAATCATTAAAAACTAAAATGTCCAGCAAGTAATGAAATTATCCAACAGATTTGTTTTTGGTGGTGTAAACTATCTGCTTTCTTAAAATTCAAAACAAAGAAAACCAAAATGCCACCATTGTAAAACTTCAAAAGTAACTACTCCATGACCTGTTTGTACCCACAACTCAGGCCAGTTAGCCCATCAACAAACAGTTCTAACAACTTTTTGTCATTGCCACAATGAGAAGTTAATTACTTCCCCCTCTACACCAAATCTACAACAAAATGCCCAAAGACAAATCTAAACACAGGTATTTAACCGGCACATAAACAGTTTAAAAACAGTCAACAACGTTCTCTGCATGATTATGATAAAAAAAATATAAAAACTGGAGCATGAGTATTTTGATAGGTGCTCATGATGAATGTATCAAATCATGCGCCTTCGATTTGTGAATATTCACTGTACACTGATAATATAGAGCAATCATATACATGCTAGCATATTATATCACAATACTATTATAGGGTAATATATGCCATTTACTGCAGTCTACTTGCTGAGATGATGTTCTAAATGCTGTATGGTTTCTGCACTGGTCATTGTTCAAGCTACTGCTAAAGACGAAATGAGATTCAGCGTGTAGATGTCATGCCAACAATTTGGCAACATTCCTGGGGAAGCGTCCAAAATCTGGCTGCATTCCTGGGAGAAGCACTGAAAATCCGCAATATCATTTGTGTTCGTTGATCAGGAAGCACAAAGTACTGGATACTGTTCCTGCACATTTTCTCACAGCCATGCCTGCATATTTTCTCACAGCCATTCTATTTTCACACAACTTAAGTATTTGATGACAACTCCACTTTATCCTTTGCTACGTTCTTCTGCAAGCTCGGCATCTGCTCTCAAGAAACCAGCATCCTTTAGGCTGTGATGAGTATATCACATTATATTTTACGTGGATGAAAAGTCTAATAAAGTACTTAATGCTTGGGGGAACAAACTACTTAATGGTTGTCTACAAGATGTGCGCTGGACTGTGATCCAAATTTGAACACTGCCCTGCCTGTGATTCTGCATTCTGTTAAGTCTTCAAATACTTTGTTGGCCTCATCCACTGGGAAAACCTGGTACTGTGGGACTTCCAGCTGCAAAGATAAACAGAACATCAAAATGAGATAAATGATTACAGAACATTCTTTATTATAAACACTAAAGGTAATGAATTATCAAGAATAAAGAATTAGATACGTGCACAGTATAGTTTCAGACATATGTATACATGTTACTGTTGTATTTTACATTTTCTTATCAACTTATAATCTGTCAGCCTTCTCAACTAGTTCAGCATTGTTTTGCTCCAGCTATAAGGTAATTTACATGTTTCTTGCTTTCCAAATAACTGGAAGGTATTTTACAGTTGGTTAAACCAGTGGGAATTTTTGTTTAAACTTGTCAATGACCAGAGACTTTATATTTCATCTAAGATGGTTGTGTGTTTCATGTCTTTTTCCAATATTTGTTTTCTTAAACAAACTAGCAAAATGATTAACTATTTTCTTTTGTACACTAGTGTCAGGTCCTCTTTTACTTCCCATTTTGGAATTCTAAAACTTGCCTGTAAAACACAAGGATTTGTAACAGACTCCAGGGCAACTACACTGCTGTTAAGGTCCTTATGGCCCTTAAACAAACATACAATCTCTAAGGAAACTACTGCAATGTTCTCCGTTGTCCTCTCTCCTAATTGACAAACCATCATGGTGTACAAGGCCTGTACTTCTCAAATTATGTGCTGATGAAAGCTTTCTAGCTGCAACATTCTCTTGTTGTTTGTGTTAACCTGAAGCCGGCTAGTTCTATTTGTCGTTTGGTTTAATGTTTCCAAAACTTGGACTAGTTTCATCACAACTGCTGGAAGAGTGGATATGATGTAACCAGACATGCCATGTTCCGATTTAACATGCCATGTTCTGATTGGCTGAGATTAGGCCTGGGTTGGTGATGTTTCCTCCATGTTTTCATATTTCATAGTCCCCTCCAACCCAATACTCAAAGACAGTCTTTCATATCTTGTGATCCATAGAACCATTTTAAGAGATCAGTGATGTGATTTACACCCCCCCCCCCCCCCCCCACCATATGTCTATCAATTCCAATCTTTTCTTTTTCTTTGTGTTCAATGGCTGTCAGCTCTGCAGAGAAAGTTCTGGTTGTTTGGCCACCTCTGGACTTTAGTCTTGTTCCAGAACCTGAGTGGCACATCTATTTCACCAATCTGATTTATATGTATGCAAACTATTGGTTCCTTGCCTTTCAGGCAGATATACTCTGGACTTTGTAGGAAGCCCCCAATTAGTTGACTCTTATGACATGCTTGATGGGGAGGCAGTGAGTCTATTCTTTGTTTTCCCATAACAGGGTCCCAGAAATAACACTGGGAAGGATCTAATCAATTCTGAAGTTATATTTATAATTTTAAAGTTCTTCATTATGAAAGTGTCAGACTATTAACAAGTATAAGGTCTGTGGCAGAGGGAGTAATGATAGGAAACAAAACAAACATATAACGATGTAACACAAGCTCACCGTTTTGTCAGCAACAGCGTTCAGCAACTCAATCAACTGATTGAGGTTACCCTGGGGAATGCCAACAATGCTCTGTTGTTTAGCAGCAAGGGCTGTCAGAGAGATATTTGTCTCTGACGTGGAGTTTCCACCAACCAGGATCACACCCTCCTGAAATCAATCAAACAAGCAAATTAGTTCACCTGAAGCTCATATAAAACCTGTTTTTTTCTTTCAATGCGATTCAATAATTGTTTTTAGCTGAACCATTTGGTAATTTTTCAGAACTATTAATTAATATTTGAAAAATATCTAGTTAAGTGCAGGTGAGCAAGAGGTATACAAGGTTAGAAGTGGGAGAGGACAAGTTAAAATGTGGACATTCTAACAATCAAAATTGTAGCTAGCTGAAAGTAGATAAATAAGAGGTGCACAATGATACAAATCTGGTGAGAGATCAACATGTGGATGAGCCAAGAACAGTAAGACAAGCTGTTTGGTGTCTAAAGTGTTATGAATGAATAATGAATCAAGACTGAACATCACCGCACTTGGGATACACATGGTCATTTTCCTTCCGCAGCAGCCAACAAAAAGTCAACATGCTAACAATACCAGCTGCAACCTGACAGAAAGTCCACCTATGTCCGCCTCCCCCCAAGTGTTAAAAAATGTTCCACAACCTAGACTCTCCCCACCCCCCATTTAGTCTTTTAATGTACTGATTCTCTATCATGCATGCCTATTTGATCCCAGAGTGCCTTCAGAACATGTTTTATCATAAATTACCTCCCTGAGTTAATTAAGACAAAATTATACTCAATTTATGTAGATACAACAAAGACACTTACTCTGTTCAGAACTTTCAGGGCTCTCTGCATACTTCTGTGAGACCCAACAAAGTCAATGATGACATCAACACCACCTCGGCAAGAGTCCAGTGTTCGCTCATGGATGTACTGTTCGTGATCCTCTTCGTTCCAGTGAATGATGTCGTAGCAGCCGTGGTCCTGGGCGGTCAGGAGTCTGTCGATGCTGTTATCTGCTACAAACACCCGGACATTGTTACAGTCATGACCCAGGAAGTACTTAGCCAACTTGATGGTCCACAGACCGAGTCCACCAGCCCCGACAACCAAAACATTTACACAAGCTGCAAACAGAAATAAGATAAAATAATTAGATATAGAGACACTAGGCAAGTAATTAGCTGGGGATACTAGGTAATAATGCTGAATGTTAGGCTAAGAACTGACATCACAGGACTCGAGACATTCCCACAAGCGCTACATCCTAATTTTCAGCAGCCCGTGAAAAAAATCAAGTTCTAATGGCGCCAGTAGTAGTTTAATTATATGTCTGTCTTGCCTTTTTTTATGAGTGCAGAGTGTTGACCAGAATTCCTGGTCACTCCGAGTTTTACGAGCTCTCCAATCATAATGATCTAATGTGTCTGCACTTGTGACTTGCTCCCAAAGGGGCCTTGACCACATCTTGCAATAATAGGCAATACTACACAAAGTGACTGTAACAAAAGATAGTGTGTTTGGTGAAAAAATGGCAAAAGTAAACATTACAGACATTGTATTCTTCTTCCATTTATCCCTCCACTAGTGCATACAACCCCAGCCAACTCACATCAAACCATTCTATCTTATGCAATCTCTTGAAACACAATCCCTGACCATCCAAAACTATTTATGTTATTATTTCTCCTCTGTGCTGTTGGTGTTTCTCTCTGTCCTTTAGCATTGTGATATTCACTGCTAACTCAACAGTCTCACGAGTTTTCTTAGCGTTCACTGTTTGTGAACTCCAGCGGAAAGATCTGGTTGTTTATCTTCTGGACTTTGGACTAGCTCCAGAACTTCAGTTTTGTGTGCATATCCGTTTTACAGATCGGGCTTATTTATATGCTGACTATTCGTTCCATGCCTCCTAAGCAGACGCACGCTGATTCGAAGGAAACTTCCTTAATTACTTATCTTTTATGACCTGCTTAAAAGGGGAGGGCAGTTGGTCTATCCTTTTTCTCCCCATAATGGAGCCTCGGAATCCACACGGGGAATAAGTTATCTAAGTTTACTTTCCTGAGAAAAACAAGCATTAAAAATTCACTTACATTTAACTTTGCGCAGTTTCTCCACATGAGGTTTGGCGCAGTTGACTGCAGCATAGGCTGTCAAAGCACTGCCTGGCAACATGGCAGCAACTTCAAGAGGGACATTATTTGGAACCTGGATGACTCGGGATGTGTCTTCCACTGGGAGGAACTCAGTGTATCCAGTGTTGCTGTCATCATCAGGGACTATGATCACACGGTCACCAACAGTGTAGTTGCTATTGGGCAGATTGGCACCAATGTCATAAATTGTGCCAGCGATTTCATTGCCAGGAAACTTGAGTGACAATCGTTTGCGTCTGGTCTGACCTTCATCAAAGCATGCTCCAGCATATTCGATCTGTGAGACAGAAAACAAGTTTTGTCAAAACCTGAACTTCCTAACTTTGGTTTAAAACTTTTAAAAATGTATTATCTTAAAATATAAACTTGTGCCGCAGCAAATAGCAGACTGATGCCATAAATTGTGGCATAAATTGCGCCCACTTTTAAAACTGACTTGTACCAAACAGTAGGTTGTAAAACTTTAAGGCTTTATCTGGGTTTTAAGAAAAATTATTGCACCTCATCTTAGGCACTCCTAGATTTTGTAGGGACTAGATTTTGTAGGGAATTCTCAGGAAAGTCCAAAAGTATGGGGGTGTGAAATGAACACCACAAAATGCTCTAACCCCCTATAATATTGTAATTTTCCGGAAATTCCCTACTAAATCTCGGAGCTGCCGATATGGGGTGAAATTAAAGAAAAGAACCCTGATTTCTGTCAATTTAGCCCTGCCGTCTCTCACCTCTCCTAATGTGTAACCCAATGTATTACTAAGTTTTTAATAAGCCAATAGAGGAACCAAACCAAACCATCTTAAATATAATATGTAATATATACCAGTAATGAGACTACTGGTATCAGTGGAACTGAAATGATGTGCTTGCTGCTGAAGATGGGGACAGAACACTTGAAGGAATGTTCTGTCCTGGCATGTCGGTTCTTGATTCATAACTAAAATAGAAAAAGGACTGAGCCTGGAACCCTGACATCAATTCTGTCCATAAGAACTAACTTCCACCACGGCCAGTCATACCACACACACACACACACCTGCAATATAAGATGTATTTACCTTGACTGTGACACCGGAGTATGGGGTTTCTGGGACAGGCATTGATGAGCTGGCCTCGGCCAGGGAGTGGGAAATCATGGAGGAGGAGGATTGGAAATTTGAAGACTGGATATTTGGCTCACCACCCAGTCTTCGGAGAGCCTGCAGCTCATTCTCGTTAAGTCCTGCTTTAATCATAGTTGCTTGTTGTGATCTGTGAAGAGAAAAAAAAATGAAAAATTATATAAAATGATTACAAAAAATGACAGCAAGTGTTTAAGAAAAATTTTTGTATGTATATATGCTAGGTCTGTTTCTTGAGGCGAACCAACCTTAGGTACTCGACACTCCCTTCACATTCTTAACGCAAAGCACAATTTGTTAGCAAGTATTTTATTTACATACACTCAACACGTTCATATAAAAACCACTGTAAATTAATTATGTTGTAAAGTCACTAAGTGACCCCAAAAAAAATTATTGTAAAAGTAAAACTATCACTGTATTGCTTGCTTAGTAAACTTTTTATTTTTTAAAATAGGACCCACACTGGCAACCACAAGTCAGACAAACAACTAATTAGTGATTCTACATACAAATTACAAAAATTTCTTCAAAAATCCTTGATTGGAACTGTTTAAAAAAAAATTTAAAGCTCACTTAAACCTACAAAATTATAAATAACTGTTGATATGAAAAAGTCCCCTTTGAAAAACTAAGTACCAGAAAATATAAAGTTCACATGAACCTGAATTACAATTGCTGTAATAAAGGAAGTCTCCACTCGACCACCAACTGCAACAGTAAAATGTGGAGCTAGAGATAAAATCCACTTTTATCTGGACAGATAAGAAGCCACTTTTATGGCAGCCGGTGATCAGCTGCTGCTGTCCTGACGTCATTTGCGGTTAATGTATGCAAGGTCATGTCGGTCGGCCGCAGCCAATCCGCGTCTGGAAATTATCTGGATACCGGGAGCGCAGCCAATCAGCGGCCGGGTATCATCCGTGCGTCAGGTCCCCAGTGCGTGATGATTACAAGCCGTTAGGGGAAACGTCCGAGGTCACTAGCGAAGATTAGCCCGGGTCATTTCAGGTCAGCTAGATCACACCAGCTTCTCAAATTAGGGACCCACAGCCTTTAAGCATTTCTCTTTAATGTTAAACTATCGCTGTATCACTCAATACTCTTCTTATTCAGGACTTATTCTTAGTAAATGCACATTTTCTTCAACAGTCTTCATGTCACATAAGTGTTCAGTTAACCTAACAACCTAACTATTCAAGACCATTGTTAATTACATCACACCCAAAAAATCATTCATATTAATTTGACTCTTCAATTAAAAAAATTTCAGTCATATTAATAAATGCTCCAAGATCAAATCCTGAGTTAACATGACAATTACAAAGACGTATTAAGGGTTATGTATTTTTACTGTATGAACATTTCTGGTATTTCTATTAGGGACATAAATAATTTGCCCAGAAAGATTCCTGATAATTATTTAATGATATATTTCATTACAAAATAATAAAATATGATTAAGTTATGATGGATATATTTTTAAATATCGTTTCCAATGCAGAATATTAAAATAAGCCTACATATTAAATAATAATACATATTATAAAGATACATTCACAATGTAAACTTACAAAAAATCGGCTTATACTTTGAAAAAGCTAATAAGTTGTATATCCAAACACTGAATTTACTTTCTACTTGTTCTGCTTGTACTGACGTCGAAATCTGTTCTGCCAAAAGTCGACCTGGGAGCTGGCCTTTGTAGGGAATCCTGGGAGCATTCGCTGTTCACGTGTTGTGGCAGGCGGCTGGTGAAAACTAGATCGTGGACGGTTCGTGACCGAGCTCGAAGGGATACGTGACAAATTTGCGCTTAATGAGAAATACACACTTTTGTATTGCTTATTAAAGATATTTTCTAATATTATGTAAAGATTATGTTAATACTAACCAGGTTAAGATAATTTTGCTTATACTTGAAATTATTCAAATAATTTAATATGTTTTACTTTTGACTGCTTTACAAGAAAACATAACGAGCCCCATTCTAACAAGGTCCTCCCCCAAACCGCAAACAGCTGACTGAGGGCGGTGTAGCCTATTTGCGTGTGTGTTTGTGAATCATGGCCGATTCTAGGTGCTCGATTTCTTCCAGCTGGCTCATATTTTGCTAGACTGTTACATAAACAGGCTGTTCGTAAGTAACCTCGCGAGCCTTGCCAAGATACAATTCGGTCAGATGCAGTTGAAACGGTTGAAGGACACGACCCGTCTTGTATTCTAGTGACATTGTAAACATCTTGAACATGCAGACGACATGCAGAAAAGGGTGTGTTTTAAACAGCTAATTTATCAACGATACTTTTTATGTTTTTACTTTAGTGATTAGCAGTACTTTTCATAGTTGATAAAGTATGTACAGTACTTTTGCAATCTCCTTGTGTGCACAACACAGCGGAAGCTTTCACGTAACGTCTTGCACTTCACAATTCTTCTCCCCCGTGTGGGTTCCGGGGCCCCATTGTGGGGAAAACAAGAATAGACCCACTGCCTCCCCAAAAGCATGTCGTAAGAGTCGACTAATTGGGGAGCTTCCTTTGAAGTCGGAGTGCATCTGCCGGAGAGGCAAGGAACCAACAGTCTGTATTCAAGAGAATGAGATCTGTAAAACTGATGCACACGCAACACTCACGTTCTGGAGCAGGACTGCAGTTCAGTAGTGGACGAGCAACCAGAACTTTCCGCCAGAGTGTACAGCTGGTGAACGCGAAGAAGAAGAAGACAATTCTTCTTTTTTCTTCTTATTTTTCGCCCCAACTGGCAGTTGACACGTCGTGTTGTGGTTTACATCTAGGCTGCGGTATCTGCGCATTTCGAACCCACATTAGTACAACGTTGGTTTACCCAACCTAGAGTGGGTGGGTCTATTATTCCCCAAACCCCATGGATCCCACACTGAGATAGTCTAGGTTTAAATCCGACCCTGCCTTTGAAGTAGTGATGGTATATGCGGCGACACTAGTCGTTGCTAAAACATATTTGGATGGAGTGTAGAGACACCTGGAAGTCATCGATACAAATGGGTAGCCAGAATTGACGTCCGCATGATGATAGATCATACACCGCTAAAACGTAGTAACATTGAAAGCTTTCATGCATGTCGTAGTAGACAGTTAATAAAGTTTGCTTTAAAGCTGGTCATTCCAGCACACAGAAGTCTTTAGAAGCAACATTCGACCAATGAACCATGAACAATTTTATGAATGTCTTGACGTGAGTTGACTTAATGTGGAATTATTAATTTACATCACAGCACTCGGGATATTCCCATAAGCGATTCGTCCCTATCTTCAGCAGCAAGCGCAAAGTTCCACTTTCGATGACATTAGTAAGAGTCTGATTGTACATATGTCTCGCCTGTTCCTTGACTGTTTCATCGTCGGCCAGATCCCCATAGCAGAACCATTCTCCTGATAGCGTGATGTTCTATTTGTGCCTCCGCAGTGTTCACTCACTTCCCAGAGGGCCGATGTAACAGCTGGCTTGTCATATATACATTCGCCACCAAGTTGACTGAGAGAACATGCTCAAACGCCAGATGAAAGCAGAAAAACAACAGAACTTATGACATTCATGCCTGGAATGGACTTCTGGTTATCGTCGATACAACCTGCCTCAAGTCACTGCAGATATAAAACACATTTAGCACGAGAGAATTGCGAAGAAGAGAGCGAGAAGCGGTAGTAGCAGAAACAGAAAAATAAAATAAAATAAAGAATTAGGAGGAAAGAAGAAGAGGAGTGTGGGAAGATAAACCTTAACCCATTTCCTTTTTTTTTTCTCCTGATATCATGTGTTCTTTTAAGTACTGGCATAGACAAAATGCCGCCATTGCAAAACTCTATAAACTAACATGTTTCTGCACCATTCGCAACAGATAACAACCTTAACCCCTGCCCCCCCCCCCCTTCCCTTTTTTTCAACGCTCATTCAACTTGTGCACACTTATCCAGCCTCTAAAACATCCCGCCATATTGCACGTCTGCACACCAAAGCTTGCATTCTCATGAGTGCACGATTTATTGTTTCGTTTTCCCAGTCTTTGGTTGCAATCCAGGCCGCCAAAATGGCCGACATGATTGTCTAGCTGCATATGTCTTCAGAACTGGGTGAGGAGGACGTGTTATCACGCCACATGGATACTTAGTTTTGACCTTGACGTGCTGTGTGGAGGTGATATGTGTAGGTCAGAGCTTTTCAAAATATATAAACTTTAGGTTGATGTTAAAAAGGTGTAAGTGTCTACCTGTGAGGGAAAAATGGCAAACTAGTAAACATGAATGTGTCTAGTACAATCACAAAAGCTAGTTGTGTATCCTTTACAGAACGTTGCGGAACCAACCCTAGCAAATTTTGGCTGTTGCGGTTTTTCGAGGCAAACTTATGTTCAGTAGTTTGCATTCACCCATGACACGTCGGCTTTCGATACCACTGTGGAAATCAATGCAAGACGATATGCTACTAAATCGAGTGCAGCTGGAATCGAACCCGTCACTCTGGTATTACCAAGGGCATTCGCAAGACCAAAGAGACGTTTGCAATCACAAACTGTCAGCTAATGAATACTGTTGGTTTAAGCCGCGCCTTGAAGGATATGCTCTCTGCGTGCGCTCCAGGGCCCCATTGTGGGAGGACTGGAATAGACCCACTGCCCCATAACAAGCATGTCGAAAGTGCCAACTAATTAGGAGTGTTTCTGTCGAAGTCGGAGGGCATCTGAATAAGATGCGAGGAACCAACAATCTGCATACAAATAAGGTTGATCTACAAAAACGATGTGTACGCAAAACTCAGATTCTGGGACTAAAGTCTAGAAGTGGGCGAACAACGAAACAATTCATCGGAGTTTACAACCGGTGAACAACAAAGAAGAAGAAGGATAATCAACTAATTTTAACATTCGCTTTAATTACCAGAGTCTGAGAATCGCTTTTGTGGTCTCAGAATGTGCAAGTGCAGCTACATGTAAGTAGAGGATGTGAGTCAGAGTAAATGGACACTTTTGGGTGCACTTTGTTGTTAGCGAGGGCTCCACAAAGTAGAATACTCACCGGAGCAACTTATAAGGTACCTAAATCTGAGAACGTTGTCCAAAGCTATGCAGATACAGA